TCCAGTTTGGACATATCTCATGTATCACAATCAGAATTGAATTGCAGTGTAAGGTCAGCAAAATCACATGGGCAATGCTTAGAAAGCAAACTGACTTTTTTTTCTGCCGTAACAAGTCTTGACAACTACTCTATACGTTTCGAAGAATGAAAGGAAAAAACAAAGTCAGACAAGTAACATTTAACCCTTTCAGGAACAGCGGTGGACAGCTTCTCATGTTATCAGGGTGCATGAAAGTGTTAAACTAACTTGCTGACTTTTTAAAAATTCTATTGCCATTTTCACCATTTTCCTTTTGGTTTATCATGACTGTTAACCCTTCATGGCGACTATTTTTGGACGGAATTGGAGGTGTGAATACTTGACGGGCGAAATGTCTCAGTGGTAGAGTGGTCATTTCCCAACCCAGAGGTTGGTTGGTTCGATCCCTGGCCATTGCGACCATGTCGAAGTGTCCTTGAGCGACATACTGAAACCCCGGGTTGCCCCTGATGCTCCGTCATCAGTAGGTGAATGAGGTAACAGTGTCAAGCGCTTTGAGTGCGCGAGGTTGAAAAGTGCGATACAAGTGACAGCCTATTTATTTACCATTCACCTGTTACACTTGTGGATCATAATTTCCTAAAAACTATACAGTAGGTATATATTAAGTTGTTTGTGTTGGAGTAGCTGGCCAGTCTATTATTTGTGGTTCAATGGGGTATGTACAGTATAGCTTCCAATGATAAATTTGGTATAAATAATGCATCAAAAAACGATATCAATGTGGAAATGATATCACCACATGGGCTCAGGAACCCTTCAGAAAACCAATGTCAATAAATACAGTTCGGCACTACATCCGGTAAGTGCAACTGAAATCTCTATTATGCAACGCAAAAGCCATTTATCAGCAACATCCAGAAACGCAGCCGGTTTCTCTGGACCCGAGTTCATTAAAAATGGACTGATGCACAGTGGAAAAATGTTCTGTGGTCTGACGAGTCCATATTTCAAATTGTTTTTGGAAATAGTGGGACGTAGTGTCCTCCGGACCAAGGAGGAAATGTTTGACCAAATGCGGACTGTTATGGATGCAAAGTTCCATCTTATTTCAGCGTGGCAATGCCAAACCACATATTACAACAGTGTGGCCTCATCATATAAGAGTGCGGGTACGAGACATGCCTGCTTGCAGTCCAGACACTTCTTCCATTGAAAATGTGTGGCACATTATGAAGGGTAAAACACGACAATGGAGACCCCGGACTGTTGAATAGCTGAAGCTGTACATCAAGCAAGAATGGGAATGAATTCCACCTACAAATCTCCAACAATTAGTGTTCTCAGTTCACAAATGTTTATTGAATATTTCTTAAAGAAAAAGGGATGTTAGTGGTAAACATGACATTGTGCCGGCTTTTTTTTTTTTTTGAAAATGTTACAGCCATAAAATTTTAAGTTAATGATTCTATATAGCAATAAAGTTTGTCAGTTTATCTTGTTTTTGTCATGTATCCAATATAGGTTGAAGATGAGTGGCAAATTATTGTATGCTGTTTTTAATTTAATTTTGGGACACAATGTCCCAACTTTGTTGGATTTGGGTTTGTACATGAATATACATAATATAGCAATATATTTGGGAGTACTTTAGAATTACGGGTTACATTCCACAACAAATGGATTTTTTTTTTTTTCTGGAACATAATAGCTATAAATTACACCGCATAGTAAACTCTGTGCTGCACAAGTGTTTACCAGTAAAACCTAAAAACAAAAATGAAAACACTTCAAAAACCTGATGTGGTCGGACAAAAAAAAGCAAAGGCAATTTTATAATTGTTTAAAAATTTAAATTTCGGGAGACATAAAGACATATCTGATTGACATTTGCTGTTGACCAATGTGAGGTCTTATTTTTGTAGTTATGCAGTAGTTTGAAGTGTAGTACAACTGTACTGCATCGTCCTGAATCTTTTGTATTGTGGATCATAACATTTGTGCTCAGTTTTGTGTAAAATGCGAGTGTACAATGTGCTGATGTGAAAACAAATCAATCTCAAATGAAAAGCATGCACAACTCCAAAAAAAAGGTGAAAGTATGCCAAAAGTGTGTCACTCTACTTTTCCAATATTAAAAAAAAAACTGTAAGCATGTACGTGTTTTTACTTTGTTAAAATACACTTACAAACACTCGATGCGTGGCACATGTTTACCCAACAGTTCATGTTACTCGGTATGCTTCAAGTAAATCGGGAAGCAGTCTGCATCGAAGCATGCTTACCTGGCCATGACTGTAAAAGCCTGCAGCACTATTCATGTAGACCGGCGGCATGACCGCCTGAGGTCCGTTGAACATGTCCGGACCAGCGAGGGTCGGACCTTGCTCCGCGAAGCGAGGTAAGGCCTGGTAATTGAACCGCACGTCTCTCGGATCACAACTTGGCCACATCTGATCCATTTTGTCACATACTTTGCAATGAACAATGCGCAAAGAGCACAAAAATATAATTATTGCACATCTCAAATTCAGGTGACTTGAGTCACGTAACACGCACAGATGGGATGACGGATTTGACACAGTTTTGTAGGCGATAACATCAACTTTCACATAAATAAAACGTCTTCCGTGACACGTCCATCTACAGACACGTTTAAACTGTACAACATCACGTAATGCAATTATGACGTCCCACGTGTCAGGCGTCAGGATTTTAGATACGCGGAGGGGCACTTGAAGGTTCCGTTCCAAATTGCTGTACATCTGACAGAGCTTCCTTGGGGGGAAGGAGTGGAAATGGTGGGGGGAAATTAGGGGGGCGGGGGGAGTCGCAAAATAACATAACTATATTCTAGTTAGGACAAATAAAATACAATGACAGAATACACCACAAATGCATGCGCTATCCAAATAAATCTATTCGAGGCATCACCAGCTAGCTATCTTTATAAAATGACCCATACATTTCTCATTTGCAGTCATTTATAAAATTTATAGCGTGACATTCAACCAAAAAGCGGGGGAGGTAATTCGAACAAATTGGTGACATGTCCAAATGTGTAATGCGTAACGTTACATCAGAAGCAGAAGCAGTCGAGTGGCATATAAATTTTGCTCAATTTGGGATTCCCAGAATGAGTCAGCAGACGTCAAACATGTTAAAGATGGTATTGTTGTCTGATTTTCAGGCCTGAAATGTCCATGCCTCCAAAAAAAATCACTGACGTGTTTCAACGCTTGCGTCATGTGGATATAATAAATAAATCACCGGAGTGAGTGAGTCAAGATTGGCATCAAACTCCATGTTTTCACACTACCTTGTGAGATAATCTCTGCACCCCGGGCCTGCCGGCTGTTGTCATGTGTCATGATTCCAGTAAAACAGCCCACGCACGCAAATGTGACGTATTTGTTCACACATGATAATGATACGATTGTATTTAAAAAATACAGTATACTGTATCTATTTCAATGTTGTGAGGTCATAATAATGTCAGAAAATTATACTGTCTACACACACGCACACTTTTTCTTTTTCATATTATTATAGTTTATAAATTTATACATATATAAATTATTATAATGCATTTATTTATTTATTTTACAAGGCAATCCTTTACTGAGGCACGTTCGTAAATTCACTCTGAAGCCCGTGCACTCCTCTAGAGAGTGGGTGTGTTCGGAGAAGTCGAGTGTGCTCCGCATTCATTATTTCTGAACTCAGCCAGCACTGGCGCACAGTGTCCTTATATGTGGAACGTCTAGTGCCTATCGATATTTTGGTGTACTCCGAATAGCCGAACGACAAATTTAAACAACGGTTTCCGAACGGTCGTAGTGAACCAGTGTGCGCTCAGAGAGGATTTCCGACCGCTTTTAATAGCACATAATGTCCATTCAGTTATCTTGGTACTTTGTAAATTACCTTTTGTTGTAGTTATGTTTTGGTTAGATATTTTAGTTTGATAGGTTTTCCAACTGTTTGGGACTGTAGCATGTTTTGCAACATAACAGAATGATCCAGCCAAAAATGGACATTGCAGAGGAGTTGCGCTGGATGATTCTGCACAGAAGTGAATAACCTGAACAGAAAACTCGCTTGCTTCAAAGCCTTTGCTCTAGCATGGCAATATAGGCTGCAAAACCTGACAAACTTTGCACCATGTCTTATTCCCACCTGGCACAGGCGCTAAATCTTCTCCAGACGCTCTCTGGCCCTGCTCTGGCAGCACACGTCCTGCAGCCACCATGGTACGCTGTTCCAGCGCCACACATCCTGCGGCCGCCTTATTGACCCTGTTCCGGCAGCCGCTGAAGTCTTGCTGCTGCATTCCTTCCTTCTGGTAGCAGCTCAAGTCCCGCGGCCACCTTGTGATCCTTTTCCTGTGGCACAATTCACATGGTAGCCTTCTGATCTGCTTCAGGTGGTACAAGCGATGCGGTCATCCTTGGATCATGTTAGCGTAAGTGCTGCAGCCGCCTACTGACCCTGTTCCTGTGCCACAGATCCTGTGCCTGCCTTTTGACCCTATTCTGAATGGTGCAATGGCTGATGGTCAAAGAGATACAACGAATACTTGTTTGGCATGCTGGGTGCCCACACTACTGGTCTACGTGGACAGTTTTCAGTGGGTATGATCGGCCTTTGAGGACTGTTGCTTAAATCCAGTATACAAGATGCTTACCCTCGCGTGGGTTGCGGGTGTGCTGGAGCTTTTCCCATCTGCCTTCAGGCAGTAGGCGGGTCACACCCTGAAGTGGTTGCCAGACAAATGCAGGGCACACAAACAACCATTCACACACACAATCATACCTAATGACAATTGAGAGTCATCAATTAACCTATCATGCATGTTTTTGGAATGTGGGAGGAATCCAGAGTACCGAAGAAAACCCACACATGCAAACTTCACTCAGGCAGGCCGGAGCCTGGAATTGAACTATAGACCTCTTCACTGTGAGGCGGACGTGTTAACCAGTCGAGACTGTGCCGTCCAAACACACAACAATAATCAGTGACATAAATGCTCTTTTTTATTTGTCAACATTAAATACTGGCACAAAACGTGAGTAAGCAAAGATTGTTTTTCTGGTCACATCCTATCAACATCAGTGTAACGTAATCAGCAGTAGAACACATCACACTCGGTGACGTACTAACTCAAAATGTTCTTTTAATGACCAAGGAAATATGAACACAAAATATTCGAATGAACAAACAAGGCAGTGTGGGTTAACCTGCACACCCACGTAATAAGGCACCCAATTTAACAACCATATACAACTTGCTATAATTTTCCTTTGCTAGAAGTGAACAGCGATGACACGTTGATGCCTCCCAGTGAGGAATATAGGCACAAACTGAATATTTATGTCTTACATTGTGCTCATCTTTGCAAGTGTGTTCATCATACGAGTCGGTGAACACGAGTCAGTGGCACGCTGCTTCACAGTAGTGTCGCCTCTAGAAACTTAACACACCTTAATGAATGTTGTGTATTGTAGTATTACCAATTTACTTCAAGGCCCAGGTTAGAATTTCCTTTTTATGGTCACTTTCACAGTAGCAACACAGACAATAAAATGAATCGTCCCCTTCATGTAGTCGAAATGGAAAATATGGTTAATACTTGACTGTAGGTAGTTTTCCTAATTCACAATGGCAGACTTTCCCAAACTTAGGTAGCAGGATACATTTGCTGGGTAAAAAAAAAGCCTTTTGATTCAATATATGTCAATGGGATGATTCAGGATGTATGGTATGTTAAAGTTTAGGTTCTGGGAAATCATTGATGTCTTGAGCTGAAAATGCTTGGAAACCCCTGCAACTACAGTAAAACTAATAATTTTGAAATGTTCCATTTATTCCATTGGTCCTTAAATAGATCTTTGATTCTATCTTCTTAAACATGTTTGCTAGTACTCTAGTCTCGAAACTATTGCGGTACTGATGTATTCGTGATACGGTCAAGCTGGACCAAGATGAACTCTTAATTCCCTTTTGACTGAAAAACGATGGCAATTAAAATGGAATTCTTATGATTTTTTTTGAAAGCACCAGTCTTTTATGTTTCAAGAAAGTCAAAATCTGTCACCAACTATATTACCCCTTTCAGGGACAGCGGTCACTACAGTGGACATTTTATCATGTTATCAGGTTACAGGGTGCATGAAAGGGTTCAATGAGATGATTCTGTAATCCAGACCTACAATATCACATTGGTCCACATTAAAGATGACATGACAACAGTTAATTGACACTCTCCCGTGTAAAACAATAAATAATCATCATTATCTTTATTTTATGAGTCATTTGAGTGTTTTACGTTTGCATTTACTATATCATGAATTTAAAAAAAAAACATGAACATCATAAATATTTCAGGAAAGCTAATCTCATAAATTAGATTTTTAAAACAAAAAACAATTAATTTCCAGTAAAACTCAGTGCTAAACTGTACTTAATTCTCTCCAGTGTAGAGCAGAGGGCTTGCCTGGGTGTAGTTCCCCAGGGGTGCAAACTCCCAGCAGTGGAAGGGAGCACTTCCTGGTCTTTCAGTTCACGGTCACCATCTATTCAGTACTGGTCCATTTCAGCTTGTCCTTTGTGGTTCAACATGCAGAGTGGGCCAAACTCCACACAAAAACTAAATCAAAGCGAAATTCAGAAATTAATCAAGGCTCAATTTTTTTCCCTTGCTGTCAAAACTCGAAATGCAGTATAATCTAAATGGAGTAGTCAAGGTAATAATAGTCAACATACCTTTACTTTTGGTCTGTACTTGAGGTAGGTTGTTCTGATTTGCAAACTGCAAAAAAAATAAACAAATAAAAAGCGTGAATGTGCTTGAACATGTTTCATCACAGTGATAAAGTGATTGAGGCGTTTACCTGAGAAGTATGTGCAGGTACGAGCCCAAGCCTGTGAAGATGTGCCACCAGGCATGGAACTGTGTTGCCACTCCAACACCAGGGGGGAGTGTTTTTCTACTGGCTCTACAATACAGTAAGCAACAACACTGTCATCACCCCTGAACACGATCAATGTGACACACATGGCTGTTATATCCAAAAATTGTTGCAGTCAACCGCAATTCCGTCATCTGGTTTGTACAAACACCTTTAAATGAATGCATGCATTTAAAATAAAACTAGAAATGCAGAGTTGTCAAGAACCAGTGTCGCAATGTATTCCACTGGGCATCGTCTAGTAGTTACTGTGTGGGGCTGAACGATATGTCATTTTGGGATCGAAATTGTCATCTCGGACAATGTGATTTTGTCACCGTCAGCTGATGTGTTTTAAAGTGCTCTTATTCCCCAAGCTCACCAATCAGCGGCATGCTACTGTGAATAAATCACACTCACCAGCTGCAAGATGGTTAAAAAAAAAAAACGTCACCTCGACATTATGCTGTCACCAATACTCAAGTCCTCTCTTTTCAGGCTGCTTGGGAGCGCTAGATGCTAAACTAGCTTGCGCCGCACCATCGAGCTCTCTCCTCGAAGTAACTAATCCTCAGCTCAGTGGCGACATATAAGATACCCTTCTGACAAGCTGCACTTTCACTAAAGACAGACGAGGAGTCGCTAACACACTGAGCAAGATGGAACATGGAGTAGCCAACATAAATCGCTAATGTGAAATACAGAGTCGGCAAAAAGCAAAATAAGTGTTTCGGTGTCCAGTACGCTTTTCACAGAAGTGAGACAAGCGATTTTCGTTTCTATTTTGTCCTTGCCTTTTGGAAAGCGTTCTTAAGTTTGTCTCGTTTTCCCTTGGTCATTGTAACCAGTGTCGTTAGTTGTACTTTGTTGGTCTAGCGTTTTAGTTTGTAAATAAACCTTTTTGGTGCCAAGTTCTTAACCTTGTCTAACTTCAAGTTGTTTATTTGTCACTCCAAGCTGTTGTGGCATTCAAAACTGTTGTGTAAAATTTACACGCAGACAGGCTCAAGAAAATTAGCACAGATGTTTACGGTGAATCCTAAATCTTCAAAGAATATGCAGGGAGCACCCTGAAGTGTTGTATACTTGTATGATAACTATTAACGCGCATAATAGAAACAACAGTACATCTGTGTTCATGTGAAGCTCTCTCCAGAATGCTAAGTGCCAGCGATGTTTGTGGCTTGCAACCACAGCAACAGCTTAGCTCCGACCGGTGAAAAGGAGGGGTGCACAGTCAAAGTCTCACTGTTCATTTTTCTTCATGGTGAGCGTCAAATTCCTGGTTTGTAATGATTTTCAGGAGTCGAAAGAAACGTTTTCCGACTGTTACAGCCACCAATGATGCACGTACAAGGCATGACGAATGGCAAATGACACTTTGATAGTGGGAAATGCAGTAAAGCGCAAGCTTTTCTCTTGGGTGGGAATGCGTAAATCTATTCCCGTCCATTATCTGAACCGCTTATCCTCACGAGGGTCATGAGCGTGCTGGAGCCTATCCCAACTGCCTTCGGGTAGTAGGCGGGGGACACCCTGAACTGGTTGACAACCAAGCGCAGGGTACACATAGACGAACAACCATCCGCGCTCACACTCACCTAGAGACAATTTAGTGTGTTCCATTAACCTGCCATGCATGTTTTTGGAATGTGCGAGGAAACCCGAGTACTCGGAAAAAACCCATGCAGGCACGGGAAGAACATGCAAACTCCACACAGGAAGGCCCGAGTCCAGATTCGAACCCTGTAGAACTACGAGGCGGACATGCTCACCAGTAACCCAATGTGCCACCCTGAATGCAAAACATTTTTACCGGTAGTTAAATATGTATTTTTACTTTCACTATTACGGTATTTTCCGGACTGTAAGTCACACTTTTTTTCCATAGTCTGGCCGGGGGGGCGACTTATTCTCTGGAGGGACTTATGTGTGAAATTATTAACACAATATATAATTTCATGTTAGTTTCACATTAAACTACAAGAGGGAGCTCTATGCCTGTATTGATAAATCGACGATGAGTCTGATGCAAGTGAGGTAGAAGAAGGAACGCCGCATCTTTTACTTCCTGGAGTTGGCGGAGTTGTTTTCAAGTGAAACGAAGGATGAAGATTTCATTGGATCTATTTCTTTTTTATTGGATGGAGTGACACTGATGATTTGGTAAGCATGTTCTTTATGCTCTAGTTATCTGAATAAGTCTTCATATGTTACGTGAATATACCAGGCACGTTCTCAGTTCGTTGTTTATGCGTCATGTAACAGCATATTGTACACTTATTCAGCCCGTTCTCTATGTTTATTTTAAATTGCCTTTCAAGATGACGTGTATATTCTTGGTGTTGGATTTTATCAAATACATTTCCCCCCAAAATGCGACTTATACTCCAGTGCGACTTATGTTTTTCTTCTCCTTTATGATGCATTTTATGGCTGGTGCGACTTATACTCCGGAGCAATTTGTAATCCGGAAAAATACGGTAGTACACATAATTGCATATTTACACGAGTGATGGCAAATAGTACAGTATGTCTTGCCTTGTATCATTTTAAAAACCTTGAAAAAGGATTGCCTCTCTCACACAGCCTCTAGTGTCCTTGCATTATTAGCGTTCCTTTTGTTTTGATTAGATGATGTAATTTTCTTTCACGTTTATTACGTTACTGTGCAGAGTGAATGTTAAGTGAGGAAAAATGTCCGAACTTTACAGCAACTACAGTGACAATGCATTGCTCATCTCTTTTCGAAAACTCACCTTAATGAGTCACAGAATATATTGTCAATGTTCCACAGGAGAAAGCCTAAGAGAAATACACCTAAGGAGGTGTAACACAAAGGCCGTAACCATGGGTAAACCCTACAAATCAGAAAAAGGTACGCGAAGTCAGTCAAGTTGTTATTTTTGATGAGCGCTGATTTCCAATGTGAATGGTTCTCTTGGCGAACTTACCATGTAACAATGAAGACAGATCGTATCACGAGACAAGCAACTAAAGCACCATACATGACCTGAAAAAGACAACCCATTCTGAAAAGCATGTGATGGTTAAGTGTTTGGTAGTTTGTATTCATTTTTTAAATGACTTGATTTTCCATATTACACTATACTGCAAAGTAATGCCTTCAAGAATTTCATTGAAAACATTAATCACAGCAAAGTTATCATTTTTAAAAATGCTGTTTAGTACTGTGTTGTACTTTAGGCCTGCTGTGGACCACACAAACAAACCCAACTGGAATCTTTGGAATGGATCATTGTGTGAAAAAAAAAAAAACATTTATTGATAGTGAACCACAAAAACATGGTGCGACTGTCAAAAGTGTCAAATTTAATTCTGTCACACTGACTGCTGTTTCTCGCTCTCCGGTGCTATTTTCAGTAAGTGCAATTCATTTGAAATGTTCATCTGCAATCAGGACACTGGCCCAGGTCCTTCATGTGACATGCAGCACACCTAATGTTTACTCAAGCAAACTAAAGGCCCACTGAGCCCCAAAAGCAAACAACAAGCAAGATCACAGAGCGGAACGCAAGCTTACCTGGTGAAACACCGGTTCCTTCCACTGTAAGTAGACCTGCGACACAAAATCATCTCAGAATATCAAAAACGTTACGTGGAATGTGCAACAAGGGCCATGGACATGATGACCAACAAAGTGATAAAGAATACTCACCACAGTGACTGTAATGCTGAAGAGTAATAATAACGCGACGGGAAACCAGCTTATGCTCTTCCTTTGTTTGAAGCACTCATATCTGAAAAAAGATATTTTTTTTTAAGTTCAGCTTGACACAGTACATAACATGCTGACTCAATAAATCCATGTTCATGTTTATATTTATGCTGAGAGTGCATTAACATTATTGCGTTTATTTACGAACGCAATTTGGGTCGTACACAGACTTTCTCCATCATGGTATTTCATGCATAGGCGAAACACATTTCCCTGCTTTCATCAACTGAAAAAAATAGAATGTTGATATTATCCCTGTCGAATGCAGTCCAGACAAGATAGCGCTTTCCCTTACTAATAGGGTTGTATAGAGCGCTATGGGCAAAGCAAGGTAATTTCACATTTCATCCACAAGGCAACTGTGCAAATGTGCAAAAAATGAAAGCATTTACAAACACAACAGCTCAAGGTATCACAGGCACCTGTTGCCTCTTTTTTGCACCTGTATGCAGTTATGTTGAGTAAAATGAGATGTATATTTCCGCTTTATGGTTGTATTTTATCTTTCATTTATTCCGAATCTCCATTCAACACACAATTAGTTCCGCTCATCAAGTGAAAACAACAATGGCGATAATCCTTTGATGTATCGCAAAGTATGTCAAGGTCTTGAGCGCAAATTTTAGAGGCGTATTTTCTTTGAGAATCAGGACGCCGGTCAAATTCCCCAAAACGAAAGGCCTTTGACTGAAGTGTTAAGTGTCGACTGTCTTCTGAATCTTTGAAAGCTTGAAACCCAAATGCCATAGTCACTTACAGACAGTAGACAAAGACACACGTGCTGTAAATCATTGGCAACTCGTCCAGCAGCTGCAAATGACAACAAAGCATGTATTGTTTCATCGATGTCGATTTTTTTTTTTCCCAAACATGAATGCATTCGGCAACAATGTATCCTCATTCACTGGCATTTCTTAAATCCTACTTGGGCACTTCTCGGAATGAACGCTGGTGAATACATAAAGTGGCTCCTCGCTTTGTGACATATTGCAAGATTATGAATGACGTACAACGAACGAGTTTGCGTAGATCAGGGCGGTACAAGAAATTATGCTCAGTTACTCTGGTACTTGCTTTGCAGTCAAGGCACCACTACCTGAAATATATAACGCACGAATTATGTTTTCACTGTGTCAGACATAGCTCAACTGAGCAGCATTCTGCATGGAGGTCAGGAAACATAAACCAAGTAATATTTGTCTGTACAAATTATTTGTCAACAAATTCGTGAGTGAACCAAGGTTTCACTTTTTTTTCCATTTCCCCCTTTTTTTTCCACTTTGCTGGTGCAGTAGAGGGTCTTGCAACTCAAGTTAAAGCAAGAATAACAATGCAGTGAAGACTATTATCTCGCAAAACTCGGAAGTTGGGGACCTTGAAAGTCGAGGCGCCACTGTGTGTGTCTATATACTTTGGGTGAAATGGTTAAAAAAAATACGCGGTTATCGATAGGCTTCATCTGGTTAGGTGACTTGGCCCGCTTTGGGAGCAACGTGTGTTTTTTTAATACTCTTTTATACTCGTGTGCAACTTTATTTCCATGGGGTTTTCAAAATTAAAGCTCTCTTGGGAAACTTAGACTCCTTTGAAAAGAAACTCAAGGACGTGTAAATTGAAGTTCATTGCTTTGTAATTAATTCTGGTCAAAATTTCAAAATCCATCGTAAAGTCCATAAAAACTAAAAAGGTAATTGAACAAACATTAGCAGACACGTTCATTCAAAAATAAACGGCTTCTTGATTGAAGCTAGGGGTGTCCAACCTTTTTTCTTTTTGGAACCAGTATCGCTCAAATTCAAGATACCTCATCTGTCGAATGTTTTTCTTCACATTCATGTCAAAACAAATTACGAACATCCCGGTGAATGAGGACAAATAAAGAATTGCCACATTTTTTTTAAAAAAGTGTTTGCCACATTTTTTTTTAAAAAAAGAGTTAGCGTTATCAACCGCCCATCATTTCTACATCACTACAGAGAACAGTTTCATTTTTTTTCACTGTGATTCAGCATACCTGCATCTCATAGAGCAGTGTCATGTGGAAGCACCAGGAACCAACACCGACAGCTGAGTAACACACACACACACACACACACACACACACACACACGCACACACACACACACACACACACACACACACACACACACACACACACGCACAAAATGTCACTCACGTCTTTTTGAAAATGTTAGAATAACTTCAGCATGTTTTTACTGCTGTGACACTGACGGCTGTTGTAATACAGAATCAGTGATTCAGGAAAAAGGAACTCAATGCAGTGAATATGTTCGATGTGACCTGTAAAAAGGCTGACCTGCAAGCCCGAGGAAAGAGAGGATGTAGCAGAACTCCAGGCCGTCACGAAATGTCTGGATGGCCCCACAAATGGGGGGAAGAATCATAATCAGGTTGCTGACCGTGTTCCCTGCGCAGGCAAAGCAAACAGGTGCATCGCAGTGAGAAGAGACAAGCGCTGCGCCTGTTATTGCACAGCCTGAGGATTGTGAGAGGTCAAGGACGTGGCAAGCCGACTCCTCCAAGTTATGACACCGCCAGAGAAAACCTTGGAATCTTATTGCTGAAAACCAATCGCTGCACAAGGAAATATCGATTGTTTTAGATTTTCTCTTCATGCCAACTCATGGACATGTTTTACAATAATTACATAATGATCAGTTAAGTTATTGTCATTTTTATGATTAACCCTTTCATGCACCCTGTAACCTGATAACATAATAAACTGTCCACTGTAGTAACCGCTGTACCTGAAAAGGTTAACAACAATACTAATTTATTAGACCCTTGTCCAAAGTACGGTTTATGCCAGATCACTGATTATCAAATATGTTTCTGTAATAGTTACACGATATTAAGTGAAACTATATTTTTAATGTAAAAATAATGATTTTTGCTATGAGTGATTTTGAAATGAACTTTTTACAAAACCAATTGAGATGTCAAATTACACTTGATATTGCTGAACAGTAAGTTTAAGTAAATTGCAGTCATCCTGGATATATTACGGACCTCTTGGAAAATCATCGAGATCAAATGTGGGTGTAAAAAAGTGAATTAAGGTTGAAATCCCTCATTCCTCCCCAAAACTGCGAGAGCTCATAGACATTGCAAGAGTGCACTCTGCACTATCTCAACTCATTTTTATGACAGGCGGTATCATAAATTTGTTGTGCACTGTCCACGGAAGACCTTTTTGAAACGCCTGGACTTGCATGCTTAGCGCTGATATTTTCCTCCAATAAATATAAAGGCAAATCTTCACCTCTTCAATCAGCTCAATAATATATATATATATACATATATACACAATCAGTATATGGCGCATTGTGAAGATCTAATTTTTAACAATGGCCCTCTTAAGGAGCTAAAGATTGGATGGATTTTTCAATGATAATGTACACAATTTGTTAAGTACCGTAATAAGGATTTTGAATTGCAATCGCATGTCCTGCTAACAAGCAACACTGTTGTTATTTTTTTTTTGTCCACTAAAAATGAAAGAAAATGTTTGATCGTCTTAAGTCGTCTTAAGAACTACACTGTTCCAACAAAGTTAAAATCATACAACTGTAGCAAATGTCTTTGTATGCTCAATAAAATAATATTCAAGGGGAAACTAAGAGGTGTAGCACCATTTTTAGCTATATTAATTAATTGGTTTATTACTACATGACTCCATGCAGTGGAGCTCTCAGAAATAATCAACAGTGTTCTGCCTGGGTGCGGTTATGTGTAAACACGTGCAAGACCTTATCAGTTTGAAAACCAAAACAGTTTACCCGATATTTTTTCAACCGACATGCTTTCTATTCAACTGCAGGCGCCTGATGGGAGTAGATGATTATGATTAGACTTTGATCGCTGACTATAAATGCATTTATAATCTGTGTAAAATCATTTTACTTTACAATGAACAATGCGGAAAGAGCACAAACATAGTAGATCAAGACAGGGATTTCAACAATAGTCTTTACCCCCCACAGCGCCTTGAAATAATGCTGCATAACAGACAGTCATTGTTACCTGAGTGACCGTTACAATGGCAAAACGCCCTGTGTCATCGGCACAAACAAAAGCCCCGACTGTCAGTATTGCTTAAATGGACTAGTCAGACCATTTTTTTTAATCCATCGTTCCGGGTACCATTAGTATTTGTATGACTAAAAACGTACCTGATCACCAGCACAGTTTGATAAAGATGGGAGTGATATATTAATGTATTATTGTAGTTGTAGGCTAAGACAGTTTTGTAGCTCCGCACGTAGGGACTAACAATGATAAGACAAAGTCCATCTAATAAAAGTGACTAGTGGTTGTAAACAAAGAGTATACATACAGTATTAATAATGGGTTGTTATCAATGAGAACATCAAGGGCAGTGCAAATCTTGCGCGTCTACGTGTTCAAGCCATTGTTTCTTGACAAACCTGTTTTTTTTTTTTGTTTTTTTTTTTACAGGAGGGTTTTATTACTTTTCAGTGTCACGGTCGTGGAACGTGTGCACGTTTCCGAGCTGAAATGAGAAGTCTGTTGGAATAACGTGGAATAATGGATGATACAGCATGAATGCACCTCATTCCATTGTGCATGGAACCGTGGAGCTATTATGGGGAACAAATAGAAGCAGAACATGTTTCCGCGTGGGACGGACTCATTTTCCGACGCCGACTCTGCTATGATGTCGAGTGAATATCAAGCTTAAGTCGCGTTTCTTAAAAACTAATCAACGACCAACAAAATACAACTCCACGTAATGTTGACGTCGTAGTTTCAGGTGGGGGAGTGCCATTCCAGCCCCCCCCCCCTCCCCGCTTTAACCATTTTCTTTTACGTCGTCCGTTTAACTGTTACTCACAGAATTCCGCGATGTAGTAGGAGACGACATAATTCTCTTCACACCAGTCGAGCGTTGAGGTGGGCCGCCCCCAGTATCCCTGCCTGTCCAACGAGGGAGCCATGATGGAAGCGGAGGAGGTTGTGTGGCCACTAACGGATTTGTAGTCCCATCCCCGGCGCCCGTACGCGGCCTATAGCAGCTAGAGGCGCCCTACTCGCCAGAGATGAGGGGCACATGCAAACGTGCGCCGTTTGTTGTCTGTGACGAGATCCGATCACTATTTGATGTCTTGGATGCCCTCTGGTGTCATTTTAAGTGTATTACATCGCAGTGGCGGCTGGTGGAGTTCTCATGTGTGGGGGGGCGTTATGGGGAGAGATTTGTCTCAAAATTATTCACAGAAATACTTCCACGAGTTTCACGTTTTTTTCAGATCCTTAAATATGTTTGTGATTTTCCATTTTTCCCGTCCAGATCAACACATATATGAGACACTTTCAAGATAATCAGTCACACAACAACGTTCACGTGTCGAAAGGCCATTCCTCTTCCATCCGCGAGGAGGCAGTATTGCAATATCCACAACTATCACGAGCTATCACCCATTTTAAATTAAAATTGGTCATTAAAAACGGAAAACGAGCCTTTATCGAATGTTTTGGTATATATTTATTTATCACAAGTCAGGAAGCAAAATACTACTGTATTTTATTTCCCTTGTCAAGCTTGTTTTGCCTTCTGCTACTGCTCCCTGTTCTACGCCGCTGCAGCAGTGTTGAAAGAGCAGAAGAAAATTCTGCTTATTCCTGAAGCTAATCATTCATCTGTAATATTCCTTTGTTCTTCCATCTCAAAGGGATCACATACCCACCTCTAACAAAGCAAATAAAGAGCAGCTTTAATTCAACAACATACAAGTATTTTCAAACATGCTGGAAAGTGCGTGGCTTCATCATTGCAACATTGTCTTATACTTACTATACTATACTATTATGTTTTATTATATTATCCATCCAGCCATCCATTTTCTAATCCGCTTATCCTCACAAGGGTCACGGGCGTGCATGATATGATATGATATCAGTGACGGTGTGGCTGTGGGTGTGGATGGTTGTCTCTACCTATGCCCTGCCATGACCTCACGTGAGTGACAATCAGGAGCTCTAACTCCAGCACTCAGGGGCAGAGCTCCATGGTGGCCAGGGGTCGCCCTTAGCCACCCCTTGTCAATCACTGGCCACCTCAGCACTCAGCAAAATCCTGCCTTTTACTTCGATTTGTTCCTGCTTAATTGTGATGAGTGTGATGAAGATCATTCTGGTTATGTGTGAATTTTATTGTGTGATAACAAATGATGCATGCACAGCTACCCACCCCTGGTTACCCCTCACTAAGGTGTTGTCTTCATGAAGTCACAGAACTCTATTCTTTTTATGTTAAGCATATTCCCTATGGAAAAATGTCTTAACTAGAAAGTAGAAAAACCTCTCTGGTTTTACATGGTCTTATTCAAATTCCCATGAAAACCTGCATTCCACAAACATGCCCAAGGCTAAACTGCCACTACAAACACGGAAACCTTGGATATATTAGCACCCAGGACTTGCCTGAACCAAATATCTACGATACCTTTTGGTTATTTTTTTTTTCTTCCCACTCCTGTTCATTGAAGCCTGTGTCTTATGTGTAGTGTTGTATTATTTTGTCATTTCATATTATTTTGATGGCGGCGCGGGCACCCGCAGCGGCTCCTCTCTCTCCTGTGGTTGAAAGGAAAGTAATTTCATACATGCTGTATGTTGCACATGCAGCACATTTGACAATAAAGTTGACTTGAACTTGAACTTGAACTTGAAGTCGCGACAAATGACGGAACACTTCATTATCTTTTTTTCAAATTCAAATTGTATTTGGCAGGGACATCTATCATCAAATCAATGTTAACCAAATCAAATTGAATAGGAGGGGCAAAAGTAAGAGCAGTCATCCTGCACACGATACCCTTTTCATAAGTGGTTAAAACCAACAAAATTGACAACCACATCAGGAACCATATCAGGCTGGCACAGTGACACAGCCTTTCCCTGTGCTCATTCGATTCAAGTAGTTTGTCATTTTACAGCATTAAACCAATTGCTACAGCCTGAATGAACGCTGTGAACTAAGACACATTAACTCTTCAGATGCTTGTGGAATGGTATCAGTGTGTGACAGGAATGTACTTATATAACTAACTAACATATTCTCTCTCACACACACACTCTCTCTCTCTCAGTCATGCACACACACGTACACAAAAAGTGAGGATGTGGTTATAATTCATCTCTCATCTTTTCACCCTTTGGCCTGACCATCCTGCCAATAAATAGGATGGAGTTTGTCTTCTGGTCCTTCACCAAGAAGATGAAAGGATGGTCGACGTAGAACAGTTTGGGCGACTTCAGCTTGTCACTGCTAAATATGGTCGTGTTCATCTCATTTCCTTCTGTGGACAGCTCCATCGTCGCCGCATGGAAGACACTGGACAGGTAGAGGTCTTTTTTCCCAGACATGTTGGACAGGTCCGCTTTGGATTTGTTCCCCGCCTCTGTCAGGCCCAACTTCTCAAGATGTTTCTAAGGATGAATGGACAGATCGTGTAAGGTGAACTATGAAAAATTTCCATTGTAGTTGTGAAGTTGACTCTTACCTGCAAGTTGTGGCTGACTTCCATGCTGACTTTGGGCAGAGACAAAGCCACCGCTGTCTGCTGTAGCTTACTTAGCCAAATATCCAGCTGTTTCTTGTTCAACACCTTCTCAACTCTGTCCAAATTTTCCACTTGATGGGGCATGATGAAGACCAAACTAGACTTCTTATGAGCCAATGGCATGCCCAGAATTGACAGCTTATTGGTTGCGTCATCATAGAAGTCATATAAACCTAAGAAAGCAAATTGGTCAAGTATAAATATCCTCCATTCGGCACACAATTTGGTTGCTCATACAACATTTTTAAATATGACGTTAATTCAATGTGATCCGGTGCAAAAACGGTTTCTAGTATTTCAGACGTGCAACGCTTACTCGATTAATCAACAGCCAATCGATCATTGTTCTTGGGAATCGTTTGGAGACTGTTGAATTTGAATTCTTCTAATTTTGACCTCTCAACAGTAAATATTTCCTGTAGTCCTCCAATCATCATCTTTGTGTGGAATCAAGACAAAACATTTTCAAACATTCGCTTTTATTTTGGAAAACATCGTGTTTGCATAGTTTCTGACATGTTACAGACCACACCGGTAACTGAATCATAATTCATTTATGTTTATGCATTATGTATTTTTTGCAATTCTACACCACTTGCCAATGCCAACCTACCTGTGCGGTGCATCATCTCTATCGAGACAGTGTAGCTGTGGGAGGCCATGAATCCGCGGTTGTCAACCATCTTGTGATGGAACTCCTCATCCCAGTGTGCTGTGAAAAAAAAAAGAGAAAAAATATATAGATGAGGGTCAGTCAATAAATGAGGTGAATTTTTCGGTATAAGGACTTCTAATGCAGAGAGAAGCTTAATTTTATTTTTATTTATTGATTTTTTTTTATTTTTCTCCCAGCACTGACACACTTTTTCCCCCCCATCTGTGCACAAGCTTCCATATTCCCTCAGCGTAAAAATCTTTGGACTGATGTCTCAGCCAGTCACTCACAACACTTTTGACGTCATCGTCACTTTCAAACTTCGTGCCAACGACTGTGAACTGCTGAGGCAGGTCAAGAAAGACATAAGAAAGACCCCCTTGTAGCCCAGACGTTGCCCCCTTTCAGACTTTTACCTCTTTGGTGCCTTCAAAGTGTTCACAGGAGGCACGAAGTTTGAAAATGGTATGGAAGATAGATGGATGATACTGGCAATATTCATACTTACGTTTGAAAAACATAGCGTTGATTATCATGGCTCCATCAGTCTTTTCGATATCCTTTATGACCTCAGGGACTTTACCATCAGTGGATTTCGCAGCCCATTCATTGATGGCATTGAGAGAACTTTTCTTATCTTTGAAATTTATTTTGGATTGGTCGCAATTGTAATGCTTTTTGCTGCTCTTCACAAAGGCGTCCACAAAGTTGACAGTGCTGGGCCCATACAGGCGGTTGCTTATCTTCCAGGTGACGTTACGCGTCTTGGGGTCGCTCACCTCAGTCAGAAGTTCAGCCAAGCCAGAATGCAGCTTCTCGTCTGGCACTTTGGCCGCATTCAGAACAGTTTTGACCTGAGTGGCTGTTGTGGCTTTTCCCCCAAGAGCCACTAGACCCAGCGAGGAAGCCACCACCACAGGAGAAATAAGGATATTTTCTACATTCTTCTCCTTCGCCATGTCTTGGTAAAGACTGAGAGCCAAGTTGGCACTGTTGTCAGCCAGCGTGGTGGCGTGTTGACTCAGCACTTTGTCAGCAGAAGCAGCCGTGGCAGCCGATGCTGCCGTAGCCAGGAGGGCCAGAGCGACCACATTTTGCCACATGGTGAAGAATCTATTAAGTGATAACCTAAAAGATGACATGACGAAGACAAAAATCGCGCACTGTTATCACAGTAAACTGTTTAAGTAAAGGTGAAGTAGTTTGCATGGATTTTTTTTTTTCGTCTGCTTGTTTTGGAATATTCTTTGCTCTAAGTTACAACTGCCAAGTTAATGACACTCGAGGCTATAAAAAAAAAAAAAAAAAGCAAGGGGCCTTGGAAATTTCCCCCCCCCCCCCGCCACAGTCCAGTCATAGTTGGCCTGTTAATCCACCCACGCGCATTCTCTTGAATGTAAGAATAATTAAAAAATTTAAAAAAGTTACAATCACAAAAAATATGACTAACAATAATAAAAATTCTATTGTAGTCCGTTTTACAACATTATGTTAAAAAAAATCATATTTTAGTTAATGCACTATATTGAATTAATGATAACTTAATGATAACTAGGAACATGCAGGAAATGGATACATTTCGAATGGCACAATTCAGAGCTGCTCCAAATCCTGTGCTCTAGAGAATGCAAGTTTTCCTTCTGTCATATATATTCCCAAAAATAATATCTGGGATACTGGGTTACGCATGCCATTCAAAGATCTCTCAAGGCAAGTATTACATAACAGCCACGTAGACAGCAGATGGGAGAATTTTTGCCAAAACTCTGTCAGATTTTAAAAGAAAATCTGATTGGCTGAGAACATGAATGATTATTTCTGTAAGATTTAGATATACATGATATAAGAGAAAGGAAGTTATGAGTCATATTTTTTCATATTCTGTTTGATTACAAGGCAGTGGTGATGATTAGCTGCCACACCGCAATACTTTTCGATTTACAACAATGATGATGGCATTTTAGGGAAAAAAAAAAAACTTTTTAAAAGTATGCCAAATTCTTTTACTACAATGGCACCACCAGTGCATATCCCAAATCTAAATTTGAGATCTCTTTTCACATGCCTGGGCAATAATCAGGAGTGAGACACTCCTCACAGTACTCCCCTCTATTTATAATTCTGTCTTACCTTATTAGGCCTTTTGAGGAATTCCACTGCTTGTTCCAAATCTGTTTCCAAATACAACTCGGACTGTTTTAAATGGTGTATGGGTTTTTGTTCTGATGCCTGAAGGGCAGACTTTTGTGAAAGAGTTGGAGGGTTTCTAGCTCAGTTTTTCAGTGAACAAAAATCTCTGCACTGGAGTCTGGTTTCCAAAATGTCCCGCCCATGTCCCCAAGCGCAATGGGAGAAGAATCCTCCCCCCTGCCAGGTCCTTAAAGCCCTAAACTGCAAAAGTGCAAGAGCATTCAGACAGCCTGTGACCTACAATGAAACGAATCTCCTGAAATTGACTGATGAGTCTACTTAAAATTTAATTCCAGATTTCAGTTGGCCTAACTGTTTGTCTGTGTTTTTTGGGGGGGGGGTTGCTACAGTGAGCGAGGAGAATGTTTAGATTGTTTTTTTTGTTTTGTTTTTTTTTGGCATCATAATGACACCAGCCCTGAAGTTTACGAATTCATTTTCTGATGGGAAGCAAATTTCATGGCTTCACAATATACAACCAGCAAAGTTATGTCTGGCTTGGACAAAATTCCAACAGTGTATAGGTACAAAATGCGTAAAATAAAATATCAGACATTATGTTTTTATATTATGGTGCAAAAAGAAGATCTGTTTATATGTGTTTGTGGTCTGCTGAGGTGCTTATAACAAATAGCACAAGCAGTCTTACTTTTAAAAACCATGCTATTAGCAGTCACATCATTAGGTACAACAATATCCACTTGTATGTATTCATTCATCTCTGCAAAGTACACAAACTTTCTCATTCTGCGCCGTATCCTCCCAGCTGGTTCATCTGGGGATAGGAAATATGGGAAGTGAACATTCTTGTTGCATATTTCCCACGTATACGACTCCCTCTCTGTCCTGATGTAATCTGTGCCCATCCCCCGTCAATAGGACTTGCTCTGGGTTTTTCAAGCAGGATATACAGGAAGTTAGAGAAGAAGCGGATGTGTGTCTGGTCGACCGCTACTGTTCTGTAGAGCTTATTCATTTGTGTGGAGTTGCACAACAGGCCAAGAGGACTAAATATGTTTTTCAATAGTTTAATGATATTCTTACCATGATATAAGTACTGGTAATTATGCTGCCAGATTACCTCTCACTTTGCCAGGGCTTCAGTGCAGCCACCTTTTTTGACACTGCTTCTTTGTTTGGCCCTCGTCAGGTTCTACTGGGGAGAAAACAGGCTTGGTCATTGAACAAAATACTGTATTCATTTTTCCTTCAACAAGTGTGAGGTTGCCATACACAACATGTTTCAGTCTCCCAGTTATAGCTTGCATTTTTTTTTTTTGAATCGCACAAGTGGTCGGAGGGCAAAGGTCAAGAGCCGTAACTCAAAACGACTTTTCTTCATGACAGAGCAATAGACAGAAAAGGCAATTGTTCGAAGTCTCTGTATTTTCAATTGATGGTTTTATATTCCTGGCTTGATTAAGATGGAAGCACACGATGAATTTCATTCAATTACTTGGATACTTTTAAAAATGTGTTTTAGTTTTATTTATGGTAATATTTTCAAGTACACAAGGTTCAAGCGCCCTCTGCTGACTAAATTAATATTACTTGGACTATCTCAGCATGTCTAACTGCCACTTGAGACCCACCAAAAGCAATGTATGAATTGAGTAAAGTTTGCAGGATTGACACATTTTAATTCATTTAAATTTTTTACAAATATAAATACAGTTCATTTTAATCACCAAAATACTTTGTGCTGCAGGTAGTCCGCAATCATTAAGTAGCATTATGATGAGAATGATGATTATTCATGATTATTATTATCATCATCATCCAAAACATGCACGATAGGTTAATTGCCTCTAAACTGTCCATTGGTCTCAATGTGACCCTGAATGGTCCCTCATGATTGGTTGGCAACCACAAGTCTGCTGTGACACGCTGCAGTTTACCTACAACCTTAAAAAGGGACAAGCGGTATGGTATTATATGACTTTAATTGCTTACTACAGCTTTATCGCAAAAATACTGGAGTCCCACACACAACTCCGCTAGCGAAGTGGCCGTAACTGGTGCCTGTACAATGTTTGGGATTAGAGGGATCTGACGTAATTATCCAGAGCTAAGGGTTAATCTCTGACTGCTTGGAATAGATCTCTGGCAAGACCTGACTCATCTCTACCTGTTCGGCATGGGCTGTTTCCATATACAGTAGGAGGTGTTGCTAAACTGAAAGAAAAAGCTCTGCAAGCCTTTGTGTCGATGTCTACTCAGCTGGTTCCCCATTAATCTCACCCCAGAATCCACAACATTTCTGCTCGGTGAATTCCAGGCAGCACAAACATTTTTAATAGGTGGGCCCCACACTCCTTGGGAACAGCCTCCCCCACGGTGAAGTTTAATTAAATGATTTCATTGTTATTCCCCTTTGAACATTCCATTCTCCACACTTAAATTGGGACATCGTCAAAGCGCCATTGAATTTGAAAGAAATCCGTAAATTACCCAAGCGTGGAGTTACCAATGTGGAGTCAGCATTTTTGACTGACAAATACATTCAAAAGTAGTACGTTCAAGGGTACTTGTTGGCTAAATGCTGCAAACATAGCATTTTTTTCTCCATAATGCCACGGGTAAACTATTTAAAATATATATATATTTGGCCTATGTTATACAAATACATTCAAAAATGGAGTACACACATTATACATTATACTAGTGGGTTTGAAAATTAAGTAATTAAACAATGTGGATTCCTGATTTTTATGGGCTTTGTTTTAAATTTTTTTTTTCTGTTCTGCATTACTTTCCAGAATGCCACAGGGTATTGACTTCCGCATGCACATACTCGGTGGCATTATGGAAAACATGTCCAAAATTATTATTTCTTTACTAAAAATAACAATGTGCCTCTGGTTATGTCTCGATGTCTGTGTCCAAATTCACAGGCTGCGTCCTCCAAAAGCCACATTTTCGGCCACATTTTTCGTCGGAAGACTCAACCCATGAATTTGGACACATCGATGAACAACCATTTGCGCTCACAATCACACCTAGGGACAATTCAGAGTGTTCAATTAACTTATGGTGCATGTTTTTGGAATGTGGGAGGAAACCAGAGTACCCGGAGAAAACCCACGCAGGCACAGGGAGACCATGCAAACTCCACACAAGAAGGCCGGAGTTGGAATCGAACCCTGCACCTCTACAATGTGACATGCTAACCAGTCGACCACCGTGACACCCTGAATCCATCCTTTGCGATTAAAGAGCATAAAATTGGACTACTAATTTAACGTCAATGTTATCTTACTTGAATTATTTTGGAGATTAACAGTGTTGCAATTCACTGCTAATGTTATGCTAATTTTTGGCTCAAGCGTACACGATAGCTGTTAGCTGCTATACTAACTGGTTCAAAACAGACATAGCTATATAATAATTTAAAAAATATGAGTTATGGGGTAGTGTTGGTTTTAATGACAATAAAAACATTGAGGAAAAAAAAAAAGAAAAATCGAAGGGAGGATTTATCTGGGGTCAAGTCAATTTTTCTCAGTGATGGAGTTCCTTTTCTCTAAATTGTATGTTGACAGACACCCCCGCAACGTAATTACATGCTACAATTTAAAATGTGTCTGTGATGAAAAAAAATGCTTTCACAAGTGTGAGGAAGACACCCCCAAAAAACTTACCCCGCCAAAAAAAACGATGATTTGAAACTCCTTTTATCTGTTGTATTTAATATGTCAGCGTTGAGCAAGAGGGGCAAGATTAAAAAAAAAAAAAAAAAACATTTTAGGTGGATATTTAGGAATCGCTTTTGTCTCGGGACAACTATAATTTAATGTGCAATAATTTAATAACTCAAAGAATGAATAACTAAACACCACCACCAGGAGATGCGCCATAGCCCCGCCCACACACGGGGGAGCGGATTACGCCAGAATGAGTGCTTGCAGTCGCGTCTGTCTCCAGAGCAACAACTATTTAACAAAAGATTATCACACTTAATGCTTCCTTTGCAAGGTTCCAACTCTTTTGTGTTTTATTTAGGTAAACTTTAAACTGATGTGTGACAATTGTCAGGTCCACGCGTCCGACGGGAGCAACTTCAAATGTACTTTGAAATAACGACGACGTCATGTCAACACCTGAGGGGGAAAACGGTTTAATCAAGACTTTCTGACGTATTCATGTCGTCCTGTATAGAGGTAAGGAAACTGTAGTTTCACTTCAGATTTTCTGCTGTAAAATCAGTGAGAATCAGTTTTTCATTTATTGAGCTGCTTGGTATAAAATTATAAGAAGACTTAAGTGCTGTTTATTTCCTTGGATTAGTAGCTTGTTCTTCTTCTGGTATGAGGTTTTACTGCGTCAGGCTACAACATTAGCAGTAAGACACAAACATGAGCTACAGTGAGGTGTTTCATGACCATGACTGAATTAATCATTGAGTTAAACGGAGCTCTAGAAACGAGGAAAAAAATGCATACATGCATGGCATGCACATAGATTCATGGAAAGTTCTAAATTGGCAACTAGCAAGAGAACATTGAGTGCATCAGTCCACATATTGCTGAATGGATGGATGCAGAGGAAAAATGGAATTACCAAAATAAACCAAAATATTTAACCTCTTTTTCCCTCATAGCACAAATGTAAAGACTCTGTCGAGGCGAAATCCATCAAGGGTATTATAATAAGGCCATTATTAATGAATGCATGCGTATAGAATTTTCATGAAGGTGGTGAATGATGACGGAATTAAAAAAAGTGACAATGGCAGAGATAAAATACGAGCCAGATATAGCAGTCTTTTTTTGGTATCGGGAAAACTGATGAGACCAAATTACATGAAGTCATGCAGTGTTCCTGTCGTGTAGAATCAAATCAGCCACAAAACAGTAAGCTGCACATATTCATAAAACACACAAAATAAAGAAATCTGGCCACGCACCTGCTTTTTGGGATGTGCATAATAATTGATTAAGTGATTAAGAATTGTGTTGTGTGGATTTACCCCTTTCATGCACCGATAAAGATAACCTGTAACCTGATAACACGATAAGGTGTCCACTGTAGTAATCGCTGTCCCTGAAAGGGTTAATTGATTGTCTCAGCTAAATGCTCTCATCCATGCAAACCTTGACTATGGCCTGCTGGCAACATTGTTTTGCTCTATATGTGTCCGGCATGGAAACAGGAATACAGAAATTTTAAAGTGAACCCCTCCCATTTCATTGCAAAAGCTAGTCAATTCATATTAGAAAAATAGAAATGGTAGTCATGTCATTTTATTTTGTCTGTCATTCTTTGTTGGCACATTTACTATTAAGCCCTGGCAAGGTAAAAACAAAACAAAACAACCCCCCCCCCCCAAAAAAAAAAAACAGACCTAAATTTTACCCTGGTGGCACAATAAATCTAAAGTTTCCCTTTGGTGTCTCCCTGGTACTCAAAATGTCATCATATTTTATTCTTGGAAGAACAGTTGACCAAGAAGCATTTATCTTGAGTTGAGTCATGCTTTTTAGTTCAAGGGTAGCTGTTCGTGTTACCGTAAGACTCGGGAGTACCGTTTTTTTTTCCTTTTTTATCACCCCTCCCCGCTTCCTCTCATGTGCAGTGAATCAAAATTGACTAGCGACACCATCTGATGTTTCAAAAAGACGTGATTACAATGTTCTGGCATTTTGCATTAGCCTGTCTGAGTCCTGACCAATGGTTTTGTGTGCATCAGATACAACAAAAAGAAATTGTACAAATACAGTGACAATTAAATTTCCCCTCCGGAATGAATGCTCATGCTCAGTTATCAGTTAACTTCCAGTTCATCATTTGATTTTAGCTGCATTGCCATTGTAGGAACTCAAACTGAGGTCCCCTTGCATTGCATTGATGAAATTCTGTCACCTGAAGACAGTCGAAATGTGGGACTCAAAACATCACTTTCAAATAGGGCAAACATAGACAAATATTATGATGGGCCTTTTTGCATTATTGACATAAACAATGCAAGTAGCTTTGGTTTCATTTCTTTGGCCTAAAGTAATTCGGTTTAAGTCTGCCAATAAAAAAAAAAAAGTTGAAATTTAACAGACAAAAGTGTTACAATAAATACATCCTCCAGAAAAACATGAAATACTTGCACTCTGTGCTCAGACATTCCTACCTGCCACCAAGGCAATGGACTTTTCTCTGCAGCGAGAATGAAGTTGGAGGGGCGGGGCTAGTGTCACATGATGTTTTAAGACTGCTCCCCTTTTTTATTGATGGCCTTTTATTAGCTAATTCCACAAAGCTTAGTAGTTGTCTTCTCACTCTCCCTCAGCATCAAATTAAATGTCATACAATAGCCCAATATTATGCCCTCTTTTTTTTTTTTGCTTTGCGTGCAATTTTATCTCTCGTAATTTGGTGCCAAAAAAGTGGATTAAATTTTAAACTGGCTACAAGTTGGTCCATGATATTTACTTTATGACCCACCTTTAAATTGCACTGTATATGTTGATTTCCCCACACAGAAGTTTTTACCCCAAACAAAAGATTAGTGTTGTCATCATAATCACCTTGTTTTGTGTCAACAAACCTTTTTTTTAACATGATGTTACAAGGTCATTTAATTGATACTGCAGCTACAACTCCAATTGAATGCATGTATGTCAAGAAATAAAACATCCTTCACTCATTCTGAACCTGCAAAAATTTTTGAGCAAGAAAAAGTATTTGGGAAAAGTTCCGGGAAATACTTATTTGTATGCGACAATATTGCCCAGCTGTACTTTTGCAAGAACGGGTACGACCTACCAGTGAACCTGAAAGTGTGGTACTAGTGTCACAGGTGGTATATGGGCTCCCTCTAGTGGTATGTGAAAGAATCACTGTGAGGTACAGTGAATTTGGATTAAATTAAATACCTTTGGATTTAATCTTGCAGTGTTTTTGAAATTTTGAGCTCGTTTGTCCCAATTTTTGGATGATACATTTTAATTCAAGCATGAATTAAGTGAAATCTTTTTCTATACTTATTCACAATGTTAATGTTCACACTCTGCGTAATGTTACAGTGGCTTCCAATCAAATGAAATGTACTTCTTAGGAATTAAGACACTGTCTTGTTTTTGAAGTACACAGCCAACACATTTCCACCAACAGACAGTTCAGTTCGCCACAGTGTTCTTTCAAACCTGAAACCTTTCATGGACAGCGGTTACAAGAGTGGACAGCCATTCAAATGTTGTTTTCTCTTATATGAATTAATCTTCATGTCACTGTTGTGCATCAACCACTACAATGCCATCCACTGCCATTATTTTTTTTCATGCCTAAAGACGAATTAAAAAAAAAAATTGAGAACAAAATCCTGATGTAGGTTATCATTATTTGTCTTAAAACCATCTCGTGGTTTGACAGCAGAGTGTAAACATAGGATGGCAATCAGCTGAATTGTGTTGTCTTTTGTTGTTTTATCCACTTACTGACTAACTTCATTGTGTCAGTATGGTTGTAATCCCCCATGCCGACAAAGTCATTTGGCATAGGCTCTAAAAAGATGAAAATCCAGTTTCAAAATAGCACATCTCAAACGTAACAATATTTGTCACATCACTGCAGAATGAACAGATGAATCGTTCGGTCTTATCTTGTTCTTCTTCAGGGTTCCCCGGCCAGTGTGGGATGCTAAGAAACTGGTGGTGGGTTGAGGCTAAAGGAGCATGGTGAAACACCAACCCTTACAGGTCTATGAGAAGCAAGTGCTGATTTCCTTTGTCACTGGCATTTATGGTTGTCGTTGGAAACGCTACCAGCGCTCCCAAGACGACAGCTCAAGGGTAAGACAAAACTTTTGGGTTATTTGTTTTGCACTGGACTGTTATCGGGCAGTCATTCTACATCTTACCAAGCAAAACTTACAATTCCATTTATCAGGGAATGGCTCGGCGTTATAACGGGCGCATCGTCATTTTCATGCAGGGGCGATCATACATGGCAATTTTCCGCGGATCCGCGGAAATCCGCCGTTTTATTTCTTAAATTGATCATTTTTGTGAATCGTCTAAATCCGTTGAGAAAATTTTAGGGGCGGTCAGGTACCTTATCGTCGAGTTTTCACGAGCTCTCCCGAACAGTCTCTCCGTTTTCCGTTTGTAAACAGCCCTGCGATTGGACGTGTATGAAAGCTTTAACTAATCAGATCACAGCTCGATTATATATACGGCCCAGCGATTGGTTAACTACAAGCGCTTGGACCAATCAAATTGCATGTAACATATTGTTTACCTGATTCATGGCGGCCTGTTCGTATCGCAAATTCATTGTTCTGGGATCGTTTTGAGCGGAATTATGAAAATTTTGACGAAAGATCAGGAGTCTTCAATCCTA